GATGCCGGTCCACTCAAAAAGGATTCTAGAGTTGTTTTGATTTGCATGATCATTTTCTTGATGTGTGGAGGACCATACTTGTTTGCTTGATGTTGAAATTTTGGGAGATTGCTTAGAAATGTTTGAAAAATTACATACTTGAGGTAGTTTTCTCCAAATACTTGTTTGCAATATTGGTGCCTCTTTAGAAAGAATGAGCTTAATGTTTGTGGGTATCATTTCTGGAAACCCTCACGAGATTTCACTCGTCTACTAGGGGTAAACTAGGGGTTTAAAAGGCTTGTTGAATGTGCTAAATGCAATCGTGTTCCCTACGAAAGTGGCGTTATCCTTTTATTGCTTTCTAGTTTATAGTTGTTTAGTTGTTCATTTCATTCCTTTACTTTGTAGTTCATTGCTAGGGATTAGCAATATTTAAGTTTGGGGGTGTGATGAGCGCTGAAAAGTACATATTTAAACCCCTTAAGCTTGAGTGTTCTAGGACCTTTATCTATCTTATTTTCCCGTTTTAGTACTTATTTGTGTTTCTGTCTATTTCAGGTCAATAATGTTAAAATGGGCTAAAAATGGTTTCTTAAGGCCTTTTTGGAGTCAAACTAAGTCTTAGTGAGGATCCGGAGCAAAAGGAAGCTGATTTGGAGCAAAAGGAGGCTAATGCTGAAAAACTGCCAAGTTGAATCGATCCAACTTTTTCTGAGATCGATCGCTTTTTCTAAGATCGATCAAAGTTGGATCGATCGAAAATCAAAGTTGGATCGATCGAACTTTTCTCTAATCGATCGAACTTTTTCTCTAATCGATCGAACTTTTGCTGGCAGCGAGTTGTCTTATTCCCGTGCGCGCCCAAAAGTCCACCTACCACATAGTACGTGATTAGATATTTTTGGAGCTATATTCCTAACTTAGTGACTAAGAAAAGGACCTTCTATATAAAGGGAAGTGACCCATTTTGTAAAGAAGCATTTTATTATTTTACTTTTACATAGTAATTTTAATTTCTCTCTTTAAAAAAGTTAGAGATTAGAGTTAGAAGAAAAGAGGGAAGTGGAGGCACATCTCAAGACCCATCTCTAGATCCACTCTCTCTCCATCTCTAGAGCTTAAAAGAAGAAGAAGAGAAAGAAGAAGATGAAGCCATGTTTGGAGCTTACCCTTGAGGGTTCCATGACCACATCTACCTCCTCCATGATTGGCTAGATCTACACTTAGGGCTTGGATGAGCCCTAAGTCTTGTGTAATCTATACCCTTGTATTTCTATTTTGGGGATTTATATATATTGTTGTAATTAGTGTTCTAGCCTTGTGAATTTAATGAATTTTGGTATATTTCTATGATTTCTATGGTTTAATTCTTCCTATTAATTCTCTAGTTTGTTTACATGTCTATGTGTGATTAAATTAGGAATTATTTCTTATATGATTCATATGGATTAATTCTTTGTATTGATTCTCTATTTGATTATATGTTGTCTTATGTGTGATTATTTGGAAATTAATCTCTACACTAGATTCTCTATGTTGGTTGCATGTCTATGTGTGATTAATTAAGGATTTAGTGATGGCTAAGCATGGGTTTTCATTGAATGGGTTTGTCAATTAATTTGATGGTTTATACTTATGCTTGATGGGTTGTTCTACAATTTAATTCATGCTTGTAGGTAGGTAGACAATCTATGCTTGCTTAGATATTTCATGACTTATTATTGCAAATTCCATGATTCTCTAGATTGATGTGTGCTACAATTGTTGATACTTAGATGGGTCATGCTTAAAATTGATGGGTTGTGCTACACTTAGTTTAGGTAGACAATTCATACATAAATTTGATGGTCCATGCTTCATATTGCAATTAGTAGTCGCATTTTGTTCAGAACAATGTATTCCCCATTAATGGAAAGTAAGTGGTTAATTACATGAGCTTAGTGGTGATTCCAACACCCTAAGACCTCTCTTCATCTCTTAAATCCCTATCTCAACTTAGTTTATTTTAATTGCATTTTAATTTCCTTGCATCTTAGTTTAATCAACCAATCTCTCTCTTTGCAATCTTGTGATACGCTAGAGTTGAAGTTAAATTCCAACACGTATAATCCCTTGGGACGATCCCTACTCACTCTTGCTACTTTAGTAGTAGTGTTGGTAGTGGTTTTTATAAATTTAAAATTGACCCAAAAGGCTTTTCTTGAACCGCACATTCACTACATTATTTCGGCGTATATCAAACGGCCTTGTCAGTGCCCATAACTCCGTGTATTCTATCTAATCTTCTCCTTTGTCTTCATCAAACTGTAGGACAGAGCACCACATCTTCAATATATATATGTGTGTGTGTGTGTGTGTGTGTGTGTGTGTGTGTGTATAATTAATAAGGAGTTGAAAATGATGAATTAATATTAAGTTATTAACAGTGTGTGCATATGAGTTGTGAAATATTATCTGCACTTGGAAAATATATATATATATGTATAGTGACGGATCCATAAATTTGTTTCAAGGGTGATTTTAAATAATAATGAGGACGTGAGTGAGAAAAAATTCAAAAGGTACAAAGGATAAAGTTATGGAGATATTTATATAATTATGCAAGATTTTTTAGGTAAAAAAAAATAATAATAATAATATTTCAATGGTGGCAAAGGACAAATTTATGGGGGCATTAATATAATTATCTAATTTTTTAGGTAAAAATAAAAAATTTTAAATTTTCAGTTGGGTCAAGTGCCCCTCTTAGCCCTCACATGTATTCGGCTTCTGATTCACAATTTTTTTTGGTAATTGCTCGGATAGAAATTATATGTGTGTGATGTTAAAAATATAGAGTGTTCTAAAAAATTCTGACACACCATTTTAAAAATAAAAATAAAATACGACAATCAAATCTAGGCATGATGTAACTAAAGGACATATTTGTTTGCACCATAAAAATAAATTTTTTAATTTAGACACATGGTGTTGTTTGATTGGAGGAGAAGATATGTACCGTGTTATTAAATAGGACTCCTATATAAAATTGGAGTCTAAAGTCAATAAATTGCCTACGTTAATTTTATTTCACAAATACGATTTATTTGGATAAATTTAAGACAAAAGACAAAAGGTGGATAAGATTAAGACAATGGTAGTTTTTATAATTCAAATGATGGTGGATAAGATTAAGACAAAAGTAGTTTTTATAATTCAAATGATATTTGAATTTAAAAAGAAAACTGTTGCTACAAGGTTTCTCTATAAATAGAGATATGAGGAGTCTGTGCAAAAGGTCCCCGACCACTACAACGCATTTTCTTACAATGTAGTATTTTCTTTATCGATGTTTTTCACTCTCTGCAATTTCATACAGTTCTTTAATTGTATTTTACTTCTGTTCATAGGAGTAGCCTCTAGTGTTAGAATTCCACTTCTTGTACTTTGTATAAGAATTTTACTTATGAAATAAAAGTCGACGCTTGGCATTAGTCCCCTTTACTTTTATTTTCTAAGTCTCTTAGAATAGATGAATGCTCGTGTAATTTGTTTTACTCCCTTCATCCATTCTACTTATAGTGCTGAAAGTCCTCTTTATTGAGGCGTTGAAGAACCTGAAGGAAGGGGTCATCCTTGCCTTCCAACAATCGCCTGATTCACTAAAGGCCGATTTTATATTCGGTCAGCACCAATGATAGTTTGGCTATCTAACCCCTTGGGTCAAAAGACTCTGGCATGCCCTTAAAAAAAAGAGCCAAACAATTTGGCACGCCCGGTGGGACATCGAAAGTGTCTAAGTTTATGCCATTTACTCGGTCTCAGTTGCAAAATTTGCCTGAGAAACAGCCTCAACATTAGGAATAAGAGGCTGAATCGAAGTAAATCAACATCCAAGTAATCAGATGTTGGCTGAGAATATTAATAATTTAGTGCAACGGATAGAAATTTCTAGCCGTACCTTTCATGGAGTATTAGAGCCAATCCATAACACATTGGCTAATTTTAATAACTCTTTGACCGTCCTATCAACAGGGTTTGATCAACACCTTATGGCACGGTTGAATACTACAGATACTTTGTTGCATGCACAGCAACAAGTTCTAGTGCCTGTTGGGGTTCAACAAAATTACTACCAACAATAGCGGCAAAGGTTTCAACCCCTTCTACAACTATTGCATGGGCAGTATCAACCCCAGGCTAATCAACCATAGGCTAATCAGCTGCAACATCAAACACCAACGGGGTGCCAACTAATCTGAAGGGTCAATCAGAATGTGAATTGGCCACCACTTAATCCAATTTATCAATACCAACCGCAGGTATGTCAACCCCAAGAGGGGCGAGATAATTTTAATGCTGGTTTTAATTTTCTAGTGCCTCAGCCTTAGGCATCGTATGTGCCTCAGCCTCAAGCGCCGAATGTGCCTCAGCCTCAGGCGCCGTATGTGCCTCAGCCTCAAGCGCCGAATGTGCCTCAGCCTTAGGCGCCGTATGTGCCTTAGCCTCAGGTATCATATATGCCTCAACCTCAGGCGTCAAATGTGCCTCAGCCTCAGGTGCCGAATGTGCCTTGGCCTCAGGTGTCGTATGTGCCTCATCTTCTGGCACCTTATATGTATCAGATTTAAGCACAACAGCCAAACCATCAACCCCTTATAGTTGATAGAGATCAATTGGTTAATTTAATTCAAGAAACTTATGGACCATCCCTAAGAAGAGTTGGTCGCCTTACATATAGGAAGCCATATCCGGGTTATATAGACCGATATGAGTTTCCAAGAGGCTATAAAGTTCCCGATTTCGTTACCTTTTCGGGAGAATACTCCACTTTGACCATAGAACATATTGGTCGGTTTACCATTCAATGTGGTGAGGCTGGAGTAAATGAATTTTTAAAATTAAGGCTATTTGCTAATTCCCTTAACGGAATCGTATTTTCTTGGTATATAAGTTTATCGGCAAATTCAGTCTATACTTGGCAACAATTAGAAGAAATGTTTCATACCTAATTTTATAAGACCGAACCAAAGGTATCGATGGCTGACTTATCTAGGCTGTCCCAAATGCCTGGAGAGACGGTTGAAGCCTTTATTGGTAGGTTAAAAAGTGCGAGAAATAAATGCCTAGTAGCTCTTCCAAAAACAGAATATGTGAGTCTAGCCTTGAATGGTTTAGACTTTGAATTACGAAGGAAATTTGAGGGAATGCAATTTCGGGATTTGTTCCAACTAGCCTTTAGTGCTATAAGATATGAAAAGGTCCCGAAAGAAGAATAAGATAAAAGGAATGCCTCTAGGTGTACCTATTATTGGGACCCAAACTATGAAATTCATGTGACAGAGGCATCGAATAGTAATTATGTCAAAGATCCTACTTATTCGAATCATTTGAAAAAGGCTGAAAGTGGCATTAAAGTTGACGCTGCAGAATTGATAAAATTCAAGCATTACATATGTCGAGCATTGAAAAAGCCTCTTAAATGGGTTAATGGTGTTCAGGTGTTGAATTCAATAACCATAAGGACACCAAAAGAGGTTGAAAAATAATATAATTTTGAACCAATGCTTACTTAGCCTTGGGGGGCAACTCTTTCGGCCCTTAGAAATCCCAAGAGGCCTAAAGAATTCCCATTCGATCCGGTAGGACCCATTAGGTTGTTCAACCACTTGGGGTACCAAAGAAGAATCAGTTATTGTGACCGATTTAAATTATGAGTTGTTGATTGATAGCCAAATATGTACATTTTGGTTGCAAATGTCAATAATTTAGTGCTGAGATTGGAAATTACCCGGGGGCTAAACACAATCAGCTTCTACATAATTCAATCTTGCACCGAAACCACTTATTTGTCACGTTGGTGGTAAGGTTTGATTAGCACCTCAATCGATTAAGTGCTCAAAATGATTGTATGGTGAATGTGCCGTAGTTAGGATGTGGTTGAAAGATTGCTTATAAGCGAAATAAAAAAGGGGCTGACGGCAATAAGGTGCTGATCGGAAAAGCAATCGAAGAATTACCAGAAGATATATGGACTGGTTAGTTATGCAAAGGGCCGAATAAGAGTGGCTGATTTAAATTGTGATTCATCAATTCAACTCTTTAAAATTTTGGTCTGCCCTTATTTCAAAGAGCTGGGGTGGGGGCATTGTTTGCACCATAAAAATAAAATTTTTAATTTAGACACATGGTATTGTTTGATTGGAGGAGAAGATATGTACCGTGTTATTAAATAGGACTGCTATATAAAATTGGAGTCTAAAGTCAATAAATTGCCTACGTCAATTTTATTCCACAAATACGATTTATTTGGATTAATTTAAGACAAAAGGCAAAAGGCAAAAGGTGGATAAGATTAAGACAAGGGTAGTTTTTATAATTCAAATGATGGTGGATAAGATTAAGACAAGGGTAGTTTTTATAATTCAAATGATATTTGAATTTAAAAAGAAAACTGCTGCTACAAGGTTTCTCTATAAATAGAGACAGGAGGAGTCTGTGCAAAAGGTCCTCGACCAACACAACGCATTTTCTTACAATGTAGTATTTTCTTTATCGATGTTTTTCATTCTCTTCATTTCATACAGTTCTTTAATTGTATTTTACTTCTGTTCATAGGAGTAGCCTCTAGTGTTAGAATTCCACTTCTTGTACTCTGCATAAGAATTTTACTTATGAAATAAAAGTCGACGCTTGACATTAGTCCCCTCTGCTTTTATTTTCTAAGTCTCTTAGAATAGATGAATGTTCGTGTAATTTGTTTTACTCCCTTCATCCATTCTATTTATAGTGCTGAAAGTCCTCTTTATTGAAGCGTTGAAGAACCTGAAAGAAGGGGTCATCCTTGCCTTCCAACAATCGCCTGATTTACTAAGGGCCGATTTTATATTCGGTCAGCATAGTTTGACTATCCAACCTCTTGGATCAAAAGACTCTGACACGCCCTTAAAAAAAAGAGCCAAACAATATTGTGGACGCGTTTGAGGTCAAACCTTTGGAGGAAAGTGGCCTATCCTTTTGGTATATCATTCCTCAAACCAAAGTTATTATGGCCACAGTTATCTACATTTGAGTACTATAATGAACTTACATGGTATATTCCTTCATATATAATTATTGATTGAATGTTAACTTGTGCTATGTTGATACATTTTTTACTTGATTTTAGCGAAGTCAATGAAAGTGAAGTTGTTGGGAACCCTTCGGCTAATTTCCTATGGGCGGGAAAAAAAAAAAAATCTTAAAAATCAATAAACCAAAATAAGATGATAGACGATTTAGTAACAAGAAAATGAAATTCTTCTTGAGGTATAAGAAAAGACCAAAATGTAATTACATGTCACTAATTAACCATTTAATATTATAAATTTGGTATGTTTCTATAAAATTAATTAATCTCTAGAGTGATTAAGCACGGGACAAACAACCAGCCCCTTCCTCCTCCTCATAAAAAGAAAAAGAAAATTACACCTGTCTCCTTTGAGTTTTGAACAAATGAGACACTTTAATATTTCGACCCGGGTACTCAACGACACCACCAGGCTTTTTTTTGGGTAGAATTTTGTTATCAAGTTTTATAAAATGATATTTTTTTCCTTCTTTATATAAAATGCAATATAATATAATTATAATATAAAGGTATTACTAATTTTTGACACCCAAAATTACTTTTCTGAAAAACAAGTTTAGAGAGAGATCAAAATAATAAATGCTAAATAGTACTATAATTTATTGAATGAAAAAAAAAAAACATTCAATAATATTTCTTCACGAGTAAAAACAAACCTCCTCCACACCACTAATACGCCATAGTAATAAAATACATGTATTGGTTTCGAATTTTGAATATAAGAATTTTTTTTCTTTATTTACTTTAAATTTAAAATAAATAAATATCATTTTGTTATTGTGCTACAGTTGTGGTGTTCAAAAACCAAAGACTGAAAAAAGAAAAAAGAAAAATAAATAATATCCGAGTCAAATGTTATATTTTGTCATTCATTAAAATAATATAAAAACATGATTATAACAGTACTTCGCATAACCGAAGTGGGGTCAATTAGTTGTGACTCGTGGACCTAGTATTGAAGTTGCCCGTCTGCCCAAACTTAAACCTAGTGGAGGATAAAAATAGCAACATCACGGCTAGTATTTATAGGTGCGGGCTAGTATTGTTGTTGTCAAACTTAAAACTTGTGGATGGAAAAATTAGGGCAAGTCTTTTTCATATATTAAAAATAATATATAATCAAAATCTGAATTACATTTTACTTCTTCAATTTTCTAGTCCAATGATTGCACTGCACAAATGGGAGTAGCCACAAACCTCCAGACAAAAGGTGGAATTGGATCCTTAGATCTCTAACAAAATAACTTTATTTGAATTAAAAAAAATTTTAATTTTAAATCCAAGGTGAGGGGTGCCGCTAAACATAACACAAGACTTTATTGGGCGCTACGCACTTCCATATCATATTTTTCAAGATTTTTTGCTAATTTTTTTATAAATAATGCTTTCCTTCCCACTTTGTGAAAGATAATATTAATGTGATAAAGTATAAAGATAATATCTTTGGTGGTTGTTGGTTTTTTTATTTTTGTATTTTTGACTTAAAATATTTTAAGAAAAAATGAAATAAATATTAAATTTTTTATTATATATTTAAAATTTAAAACAAACACTTATCATTTTATCGTTACTTTACGTGAATGATTTAAAGGAGGTTTGTTCTTACCAGTATGTTGGTAAGTATTGCTTGTCTTCTGCTAGGTAGCTCTATGAAACATATGACTTGGACAAGTACTGAATTTTTTTTTTTTTTTTTTTTTTTTTTTTTTTTTTTTTTTCTGAATATGCTCTATTGGGACAACCTTCTAGAGTACTCCTTATAGGTAACCATTAAACACATGTCTTCACACACACCACAGTCAGGTCAGGTCAGGTCAGAGTCAGAAATTATGTTCAGGGCACAATGCACAAAAAAAAATCTTAGGGGGTAATTTTAAAATTTTAAAGAATTATACATACAGAAGTAATTTTTTTAAGAAGTTGAAGGGGGCAATTTTAAAATTTTAAAGAATTATACATTCTAAAATGTAATTTTTAAAAGTTGAGGGGGGCAATTTTAAATTTTTAGAAAATTATACAAATAAAAATGCAATTTTTTAAAAGTAACCCTAATAAGATTCAAACTTTTAATTTTTAAGATGTGAGATAAAATGCTTATTATCTGTCCTCTTCGGGGTAAATATAAACTCCATTTGACCACACAAGAGGCAACCTACAATCATAATTGTCAAAGAACTTATTGGTTTTGATATATTGTTGGATAACTTAATAAAGCATTCATCTGAGTTTTGTGAAGGTTAGGTCACCCATCCTAAATTTGAATGTACTTGTTTGGGTAGATTAGTATCAAATTTTATAGAGTATTCTATAATATGGTAGATATTTGCAGAGTCTACTAAATAGTATTAAAATTCAGTAGAAGTTTTTTTTAAGGGTCGGTTTGGTTAGTCGGAACTGATTGGCATGATATATATATATATATATATATATATATATATATATATATATTTTTTTTTTTTTGTTTTTTTGAGAAATTTTTTAGTTTTATTAGTTTGGATAGTATGAGAGTGAAAAGATTATATACTAAATGGCAATGTAATTTATCGAAAGAAAAAAAAAAAAACATACAATAATATTTCTTCACCAGTGAGAACGAACCTCCTCCACACCACTAATACGCCATAGTAATAAAATACATGTATTGGATTTGAATTTTGCATATAAGAGAAAAAAAATTAAATTTTTAAATTTTTTTCTTTACTAATTTGAAATTTAAAATAAAAAAATATCATTTTGTTATTGTGCCACAATGGTGGTATTCAAAAACCAAAGAATAAAAAAAGAAAAAAGAAAAATAAATAATTACCGACTCAAATGTTATATTCTTTCATTTAGTAAAATAATATAAAAGACATGATTATAATGGTTCTTCGCTTGAGTAACTACTAAAAAATAACAGAGCACACGCATAACCGAAGTGGGTCAATTAGTTGTGACTTGTGGACCTAGTATTGAAGTTGCCTAACAACCCATCTGCCCAAACTTAAACCTTGTAGATGGAAAAAATTGCAACATTAGGGCTAGTATAAGTCTTTTTCATATATTAAAAAAAAAAAAAAAAAAATCAAAATCTGAATTACATTCTACTTCTTCAATTTTCTTTTAGTCCAATGATTGCACTGCACAAATGGGAGTAGCCACAGACCTCCAAACAAAAATGAAGGTAGAATTGGATAGTTAGATCTCTAACAAAATAATTTTATTTATATTAAAATATTTTCAATTCAAAATTTAAGGCCCTCGATTGCCGTCAAACATAGCACAAGACTTTTATCATTTGGGGAGTATGCACTTCCATATCATATTTTTCAAGATTTGACTAATTTTTTTTTATTTTTTTTTTAAATAATACTTTCCTTCGCACTTTGTGAAATTTCATTCAAAACCATTAATGCAATAAATTAAAAAGATAATATCTATGGTTGTAGTGGTCTTTTTATTTTTGTTTTTTTGACTTAAAATATTTTAAGACAAAATGAAATAAATATTAAGTTTCTTACTTATATATTTAAAATTTAAAGCAAACACGTATCATTTTATCGTTACGTTACCGTTACGTTACGTGAATGATTTGAAGGAGGTTTGTTCTTATCAGTATGGTGGTAAGTATTGTTTGTTTCGCTTTTACTCCTTATTAGGTAGCTCTATGAAACATGACTTGGACAAGTACTCAGAAAAGATTTTTCTGAAAATGCTCTATTTGGACAACCTTCTAGTGTACTCTATATAGTCAACCATTAAACACGTCTTCCAACGATTTCACATACACCACATGATAGAGTCAGAAATTATGTTCAGAGGCATAATACAAAAATTAAAAAATTAAAAAATAAATAAAAATCTCAGGGGATAATTTTAAAATTTTAAAGAATTTATACATACAAAAGTGAAATTTTTAAGAAGTTGAGGGGGACAATTTTAAAATTTTAAAGAATTATACATTCCAAAATGTAATTTTTAAAAGTTGAGGGGGGTAATTTTAAAATTTTAAAGAATTATACATACAAAAGTGAAATTTTTAAGAAGTTGAGGGGGGCAATTTTAAAATTTTAAAGAATTATACATTCCAAAATGTAATTTTTAAAAGTTGAGGGGGGCAATTTTAAATTTTTTAAAAATTATACATATAAAAATGCAATTTTTTAAAAGTAACCATAATATTCAAACTTTTAATTTTTAAGATGTGAGATGAAATGTTTAGGTTTTTCAACCTAGGTGGCCGGGACGTCGATCACAGGGATTGAAGAGGGCCAATCCTCCTCCCCTCTACTGCCGGTGGATTCTCTAAACCGGACTACAAACCCTACCACTTCTTGGTGTTGTTTCTTCTCTGAAACGGCATCTGATTTCAAGAACTTAACGTTTCATAGCAATCTACGTGAGAAGAAAGTTTCTATCTCTGAAGATGATGTTGCTGAAGAAATCAAGTTCTGGTCTTCTTCTGTTGTAGGATATGTGATGGGAAAGAAGCCGTACTATCACTATTTTAAGTCATTTGTGGAGAAACGATGGTCCAAGAATTTTTCTTTGGTTTACTTGAAGGATGGTTTTTTCTTGGTTCGATTTCATGATGATTCAGATGTTATGAAGGTGTTATCTCGCATTCATACATTTGAGGGTTGACCCATTATTCTTAAGAAGTGGAGCAAGAACGTTAATCTCGTAAAGGAGGTTTTGGAATCTGTTCCAGTATGGATGAGAATTTACGATCTCCCAGTTCATTGTCGAAAACAACAAGTGGTTTCTATGATATGTTCTTCCTTTGCTAAGCCAATTTACATGGATGTTTCAAAATCTAATATAGACAAAGGAAGGTATCTTCGTGTAACGGTTGAGGTTAATGTCAAGGAAGAACTTCCTGATTCAATGGTGGTGGATATACATGGGGTTGACTGTGTTCTTGAGATAGAATATGAATGGAAGCCTCAGATTTGTACTCTCTGTCAAAGAGTGAATCACGTCAAGGAAAAATGTCCACAAAAAGGTTATTCAAGCTAAACCTAAAAAAGTTGTAGAAAAGTGGATGGTAAAGCAACAAGGCAAACTGGTCAATTGTGATGAAGCCGTTATGTTTGAAGAAATGGTTCATAAGGAATCCATGACAAATGTTCAACCATTTGTTACTACAAACGCCTTCCAATTATTGACCATAGAACAAGAAGATGATCGGGTAGAGGTTATATCAGATACTAGGGCTGCGGTTACATTGGATTTGGAGACCAATTCTGTCTACATTTCATCACCAGAAGAAGGGGTGGAAGAATTACGGCTTGATACTAGGACTGAGAATCCTCTAGAATTTGAGGCAATACAGTGGTCTAATGTTTCTTTGCCAGCGGAAGGTGATGTGAACAGGGAAGACAAGGTTGTTCTTACTACAAGTGCAGTAGGGGTTGATGTTGGGAAAATACAGCAGAAGAACAATTTGACAGATGAAGGAGTTGTAAGAGGGGTTGACATGGTTGATTCTGATATTGCTAAAAGCTCAGGGAAAAGCAAACTTATTTCCTATAAGGGTAATATTTCCTTGACAGAAGAATGTACTGTTGGTGAGGCTGAGAAGTGTGCTGTATTGATTGAAAGGGTTGATGGTAGCTCTACTACTACTAATTCAGGAAAATCAAGGTATAATAAGGCAAAAATCAATGATTGTGGTGATCCTAAGGAGAAAGAAGTGATTAATATCTCTGAAGAGGCTGCTGATTTACAGCCTTCTATTATTAAGAACAAGAATACTACAGGTTTGTTGGCTACTTCTAGAGTGACTAGAAATAAAGGGGGTGCTTCCCATCCTCTAAATTCTAAATGATTTATTCTTGGAATGTGAGAGGTTTGAATAAGCCTAGAAGGCAAAAAGAGGTGAGGCAATGGATTAAATCAAATGATGCTCATTTTGTCTGTTTACAAGAAGCGAGGGTGAGAAGGCCTAAATTTGATTCTATTTCCATAAAAAATAACAAATCTTGGAATTGGCTTTACAATTATAATTCTCATGACTTAGGCAAGTTATGGATAGGTTGGGATCCAATAATGTTTTCAGTTGCTGTGCTTTCAGAGATGGATCAAAGTATTCTTTTGCAAGTTCATATAATCCAGACTGGGGAGGTAATTTTTTACTCCAGTGTATGCCTCTAATTATGTTACAGGTAGGAGAAGATTGTGGGATCATTTGATTCTGCAAGCTACAATGGTTACTGGTCCTTGGTTGGTTGTTGGTGACTAGAATGCTACTAGATACCACTCTGATAAAAGGGAGGGTGTACAGTTCCTCAAAGACTCCTTGATAATTTTAATCAAAGCCTTTAGAAAGCCGGACTGGTGGAATTAACTGCTTCTAATGGAGAGTGGACTTGGTGTAATAGACAGAGAAAAGGTAGAAGAATTCTAGCTAAAATTGATAGGGTTTTTACAAATGATGCTTGGCTTCAGCTTTTTACAGGTACAAAAATGTTTTACTCAACTTTTACCTCTTCTGATCATTATGGGGTCATTATCAACATCTTTAGACAATTTGCTAGTGGTCCTAAGCCATTCAAAATGTTAAAAATCTGGTGTTTGCAAGAGGGTATTGTGGAAGTGATTAAAAAAGCTTGGGATGATGAGGTTTCAGGGAATCCAATTCATATATTGCTCAAAAAGTTGAGAAATGTTAAGGCAGCTATAAAGTATTGGAACAAGACTACTTTTGGAGATATTGCAAAGAAGGTTATTCAATCAAAGCAGCATTTGGAAGATATTCAAGTGGACCTCTTAACTTCCCATACAGATGTCTTATTTAATGAAGAACAAAAAGCTAGAGACATCTATCAGGATGCTTTGTCATCTCAGGAGATTCTATATGCATAGAAGTCAAGGATTTTATGGTCAAAGGAGAATGATCGATGTTCTGGTTTCTTTTATCATAAGTTGAAACAACACCAACAATTCAATGCTATTACATCTATTGAAACTGATATTGGATATGTTTCTACTGATCCATCTGTGGTTAGTAAAACTTTTGTGGATTATTATCAGGATATTTACCAAGGTGCAGAGGTTGATGGTCCATTTGATATTCAAACTCGGTATCTGTTATCAGCTGAAGATCAATTGGTTTGGGATGCCCCTATAACTAATGAGGAAATTAAAGTTGCTGTTATGAATTTCAAACCTGATAAGGCTCCAGGTCCAGATGGCTTTCCGGCTCGATTTTTTCAATCTTTTTGGTCCATTGTGCAGACTGAAGTGTATGCAGCTGTTCACCACTTTTTTAATTCGGGAAATCTGCCTACAGGGGTGAGTTGCTCCTTTCTTACTTTAATTCCCAAATGATCGATCCTTGCAAGGTTTGCTTAATATATTTGGTGAGGCCTTAGGCTTGAAGATTAATTATCAAAAGACAAGTGTTATTTTTTCTAAGGCTGGTAGAAGAAGAAGAAATATTATTGATTTGCTGCAATGCAAAGAAGAGTTGCTTCCTTTGAAATATTTAGGCATACCTTTGTGTTCCACAGGTCTAAAGAAAGCTCATTGCAATGTGCTTATTGACAAAATTTCAAAATAGCTCACTATTTGGAGTAACAATTTACTGTCAGTTGCAGGGAAGGCCGAGTTAATTAAGACTGTTATTACTCCAATTTGTCTTGCCAGTTGCTGTTCTAAATCACATTCAAAAGTTGTGTAGAGAATTTCTGTGGGGCAGTAGAGAGAATATAAAGAAATTGCATCTTATGAGTTGGGATTTAATGTGTCGACCCAAAAAGGAAGGTGGGCTGGGTATCAGAAAATTGCTTGATTTACAGCATACTTCCCAGTGCGTTTTGGCTTGGAATTATTTGCAAAACTCAGACAGAATTTGGGTTCTATGGTTTAAGAACAGGTACTCCCCTACTTCTACTTAATGGAATGCAGTTCCAAAGTTTTCTCATTCAATTCTTTGGAAGAATTTGATTAATTCCAGGGATCTTATGCATCTCAATATTAATTTTTCTATTGGTAATGGGCATAGTTTTAAGATTTTGACAGACCCTTGGTGTGAAAACCAAACATTAATTCAGAAATTTGGTCATAGAATTGTTAGAAGGCTGGGGTTTACTTGGGATACTCCTTTGTCTAATCTTTTGGACAATGGTGAATGGAATTTGGAGCTTTTACAAGACATTATGTTTCGGCCAATTAAGGATTATGTGCAGACTTTGATTATTCATGCAAGAGCAGATCGTCTTATGTGGGATGGAGGTCCTTTTACTTTCAAATCAGTTTGGGAAAGTTGTCGAATCACTCATCCAGATGTGGATTGGTTTAAATTTTTTTGGGGAAAATCTCGGCCTAGATGGTCTGTGTTTGGTGTTTTTCTATTTCAAGATAGGCTTCCTACCATGGTAAATCTTCAGAGGAGGAAGGTGCAATTAGCTCCAAGGTGTTCTTTATGTTTACAGGAGTGTGATACCAGAGACCATCTTTTTGTTGCGTGTTCTTATGCAATTAGTTTCTGGAAATGGATTGTGGATATTATGGGCTGGAATTTTGATATTTCTTTAATTTTCACATTCGAAGACTTGCTCTACTGGTTCTCTCAACAGACCAATAAGATGATTTATTCAATTTTTGTGGCTACATTATGGAGCATTTGGCAAGAAAGAAATGGCAGGTTGCATGGTCATTTATTTAGACTACCTCAAGATGCTGCTAGACAAATCTTATTTGAAGTTCTTGATATCTACAATGTTGCTATTCAAGATTTCTCTAGATAGTAATATTGTTGATTTGCTTTGATTTGAATTTTTTCTTTTTAAGAATTTTTCTTTCAATTCTTTTCTGAGGGTATGCCCTCTGTGCGCTTGTAATTATTCTTTTTCCTTTTTTATACAAACACCAATTATGAAAAAAAAAAAAAAATGTTTACTATTTATCCCTTTCGGGGTTGAATCTAAACCTCATTTGACCACACGAGACAACCTACAATCATAATTGTTAAAGAACTTATTGGTTTTGATATATCGTTGGATAACTTAAAAAAGCATTCATCTGAGTTTTGTGAAGGTTAGGTCACACATCCTAAATTTGAATGTACTTGTGTGGGTAGATTAGTATTAAATTTTAGGGTTAACTACAACGACACCCCTTGAAGTTTTATGTATTGACAGTCATATACAACTTAGCTGTTTTTTGGACGATGACACCCCCTTAGGTTTGATAAGTTAATAAAGACACCCCCAAGGGTCCAAACATACCCTTAGAAGATGTGAAAAGACGAGAGTGCCCTCAATATTCAATTAATTTTAACCATAAAATATTAAACATTTTAAAAAGACTAAAACACCCTTATATAATATCTGTTGCTCAACCCCAACCACCCCACCCTCCATCACCTACTGTCTCTTCATCCTCCACACCACCACCGCAAAGCTCCACAACCGCCACCATTTCTCTCTATTGTCCACCACCATGGCCGCAAACCCCATATTCTCTCTCTCTTTCTACAAATCACAAACCCTAATTTTCATTATATATATACACACGTACATATATTATGTATTTTGGGGATCCGACCACTGTTACCACCATTTCTCCGAGCTTCCTTGAATGGATCAACCTTCTTCTCCAACTTATAACAATTTAGGGGCATCTTCTTCACCAAAATACGTTGATTTCGAACCCTAGGGTTTGTGGAATTTTGTGAATCAATTTAGACTGATTTGATCTTTATCGGACGGTGGAACTTGGGGTTTTTGCGGTGGCGACCCACCCCTCTTCTTTTTCTTCTTCAACGACCCCAAAGACCCACCGCTCTTCTTGTTCAACCACTTCTTCTTCTTCGTCAACGAAAGTTGTAACTACCAGCCAGAAATAGAAGACGACAACCATTGACCAACGAACCGAGTCGCGTGAAGCTAGAAACACTTGCGCCGATGTATGAAGCAAGAACACGACCGGTGATGAAGCTAGGTACACAACACAGGGTGACGACAGCAAGGAAACTCCGGCGATAGCAAAGAATAAGGTCACGGCACAAAGAA